AAATGATATAAAATCAGATAAAGTTATATAAAGATGCAGATAAAGTTATATATAATATGCTAGTCCTGTGCAACTTGATGTAATTATCAGTAAGCTAAGAAGCTTGTTTCCAAAATGATGAGCAGGGCTGTAAATAATTCTCAGATGTCTGAGAACGTTAACAAAAGTTATATCAATTAATGCTTTAAATAGATAATTTGTTCATCATAATTTTATTGTTTTTAAGAAACAACTTCTTGTTCCCAAAATACTTCAAAAGCTAAAAATAAAATTTCCCTTTTGGCACGTATTTATAATAAATTACATTATTTAAATGTATATTTTTCATATTATTTCTAAAAAAGTATTTATATTATTGTTTAGAATGTTGTATAAAGGGGAATTCCATCAGCGTTTCAAATTTTCTGCATAATTCAGTTAAGATGTAAACAGAGTCGTTCAGAGTGGTTTGGTGTGAAACGCTCTGCTCTAGAGAAACTTACTGAGGCAGAACTGTTCACAGTGGTGGTGATAGGAACCAGACGATCCACCTCTAAAAGCTCCCTCACAGAAAGTTACTACATGAAATGGTTATGAATTCACTGCCTGATGACTGAGACACTCTTTTAAGACAGATTTTATTAAGGTTTTGGTCTAAAATATGATTTTTCAAAGCCATTCATGGTGGAGGGATACATGCAGGGTGTCGTGAAGCAAAGTAGTCCCTAAAATAGTCAGGCATTCACTTTTTTCCCCATCTTAAACATCCCATATAAACTCAGAAGACTCGTATAGGTTCACTGGTGGTTCTGGATAGTAAATAAAATGTCTGTGTTGTAGTCATGGCAACCCCTGGTTCCTATCACCACCACTGTAAAGACATCTGAACCATTTCACACCAAACCACTTTGAATGACTTCACATCTGAATAAATGAATTATGGAGGAATTTTGAAAAACTGGTGTAGTTCCCCTTCCAGTGTAATTCAAGTGCAGAGGAACCTGCTGTGTATAGAAATGCAAGAGAGGAATGATAGCAGACCCATCATTGTGTCCTCCAAGTTTAAAGTCTTTTTTTAAAGCAGGACTTATATTTATATTTATACATTTTATTATGAAATTATTTTAGATATCTGGCTGATGGAGAACCGAGAAGAACATTGTAGAACAGAGTAAAATGGCGGAGAACTTTCTAAAACAGTATGAATGGCATTCTAGACCAGTGTGAAGTGAGAACATTCTAGAACACTGTCAGAAGGGGAGAGAACATTCTAGAATAATGTGAACAGTCAAAGAGTCAAAAATGGAGGGAACATTGTAGAACAGTATGGAATGGGCGAAATTTTCTAGAACAGTGTGCACTGGGGAGAGAACATTCTAGAACAATGTGAAATAGAGAATGTTGTAGAGCAGCAAAACGGAGGAGAACATTCTAAAACAGTACGAATGGTGGGAGAACATTCTAGACCAGTGTGAAGTGAGAACATTCTAGAACACTGTCAAATGGGGACAGAATGTTCTAGACCAGTGTGAAGTGAGAACATTCCATAACAATGTCAAATGGGGAGAGAACATTCTAGAACAATGTGAACAGTCAAAAAAATCAAAAAGGGAGGGAACATTCTAGAACAGTATGTAATGGGAGAAATATTCTAGAACAGTGTGAAAGGACATTCTAGAACATTGTGAAATAGAGAACACTTTAGAACAGTGAAATGGAGAAAAAAAGACTGGAACAGTGTGAAGTGGGAAGAGAATTCTAGATCAGTGTGAAATCAGTGACATTCTAAAACAGTCTGGAATGGAAGAAGTCAAAGAATCACATAGGGAGGGAACATTCTAGAACAGTATGTAATGGGAGAAATATTCTAGAACAGTGTGAATTGGTGAGAGGACATTCTAGAACAGCTCTGAATTGGAGAAACATTCTACACCAGTGTGAATGGGTAGAGAGCATTTTAGAACAGTAAAATGGAGGAAAACACTCTAGAACAGTAAAATGGGGGAAACGTTCTAGAACAGTGTGAAATGGGCTGAGGCATTCTAGAATAGCGTAAAATTGTTGAGAACATTGTAGAACAGTTTAGAATGGGGCAGAGTGTGAAACATTCTAGAACAGTGTTAATGAGGGGGAGAACATTCTACTGTCTCCTAGCAGTGACACACACAGGGACGGAACACTGGGTTTGGGTCTGAGCTTGTTGGAGAACCGTTGTTTGAGACTGTCTGTGTGCTGTTTAGTTACAGGGGAGCAGAATGATGAAAGCGGTGAAAAGGAAGCTGCAGTTTGTGGTCAGCTTGCCCAGATGACTCTGCAGGACACCAGCCCCATCTCTGTTTAATTCAAGGTCTAATTAAAGGGGAATTCCACCAGTTGTTTAAAACATTGTATAGTTCAGGGGTTGAGATGTAAACCGAGAGATTCAGAGTGGTTTGGTGTGAAATGGTTCAGATGTCTTTACAGTGGTGGTGATGGGAACCAGGGGTCGCCATGACTACAGCACAAATATAGACATTTTATTTACTATCCAGAACCACCAGTGAACCTACACGAGTCTTCTGAGTTTATATGGAATGTTGATGATGGAAAATAGTGGAAAATCTGAAATAATAAGTTTTCTTTGGGGGCTATTTTGCCTCACAGCGCCCTGCATGTATCCCTCCACCATGAATGGAGTTTAAGTTCTCTAAACTATTATAAAACAGTGTCTCAGTCATCAGGCAGTGAATTCATAACCATTTCATGTAGTAACTTTCTGTGAGGGAGCTTTTAGAGGTGGACGTCTGGTTCCTATCACCACCACTGTGAACAATTCTGACTTGGTAAGTTTCTCTCTCTTTACCATTTAATTACACCGAAATTTTGAGAAATTGTTGCATTTCCCTTTAGTAAGCACAGTGCATGGATGAGTGGATGCTTATGGTTTTGGACTCTATGAATTATCATACAGGACTGTTATATCTCAGGAGTAAGACAAGCAGAAGCTTCCGTTTAATGCTCTATGATGCCTTGTGCACACGCGTTTGTACTGAAGAGAGTTTGTATCTGCAGTGTTCAGCAATCTTGCCTTTTGTGTGTTTATATATTCGTTTGTAATTTATTAACAATATTTGCTTGTTATTTCTTTCTTTCTTTAATTGTTCTGAGAAGGCTGTGGGGTAACGTTATATTGCTTATAATTATTTTATACTTTATCCTTATACTGTACTCTTGTACAGCTTTCCTGCGCTGTTCATGTTCGTCATCCACACATTTTGAGTGCCGTGCGCTGATATTTAAATAGTCAATATTTAAATATTTTACAGTATACAGCAAAAATGCTCTCAGGAACATTGTGTGAACAATAAAGCGTGATGTTTTTGAATGAACAGAATACGTTTGTGGTTCTTGTAGTCCAGAAGTCTAATCGTCATTCAGAAGAAGGAACATTCTAAAACACTATCAAATGGGGAGAGAACATTCTAGAACAATGAACAGTCAAACACTCAAAAATGGAAGTAACAGTCTTTAACAGTTTGGAATGGGAGATGCATTCTAGAACAGTGTGAAATGGGGAGAGAACATTCTAGAACAGTTTGGAATGGGAGAAATTTTCTAGATCAGTGAAATGGGAAGAGAACATTCTAGAACAGTAAAATGGAGGAAAGCATTCTTGAGCGGTTTAAGATGGGGGAGACATTCTAGAACAGTGTAAAATGGTGAGAGTATATTCAAGAACAATGTGAAATGGGAAGAGAACGTTTCACAACAGTTTGAAATAGAGAAATATTCTAGAACAGTGAGAAATGGAGAGAGAACATCCTAGAACAGTGAAATAGAGAAACATTCTAGAACAGTATGAAATGGGGACAGAACAGTTTGGAATGGGAGATATATTCTAGAACAGTGAGAAATGGGGAGAGAACATTTTAGAACAGTTTGGAATGGAAGAAATTTTCTAGATCAGTGAAATGGGAAGAGAACATTCTAGAACAGTAAAATGGCGGAAAGCATTCTAAAGCGGTTTAAGATGGGGGAGACATTCTAGAACAGTGTAAAATGGTGAGAGTATATTCAAGAACAATGTGAAATGGGAAGAGAACGTTTCACAACAGTTTGAAATAGGGAAATATTCTAGAACAGTGTAAAATGGTGAGAGAATATTCAAGAACAGTTTGGAATGGGAGAAATATTCTAGAACAGTGTGAAATGGGAAGAGAACATTCTAGAACAGTAAAATGGAGGAAATCATTCCAGAACAATGTTGAACTAGGGAAACTAAAACAATGTGAAATGGGAAGAGAATGTTCTGCAACAGATTGAAATGGGAAAAATATTCCAGAACAGTGAGAAATGGGGAGAGAACATCCTAGAACAGTGAAATAGAGAAACATTCTAGAACAGTATGAAATGGGGAGAGAACATTCTAGAACAGTTTGGAATAGGAGATATATTCTAGAACAGTGAGAAATGGGGAGAGAACATCCTAGAACAGTGAAATAGAGAAACATTCTAGAACAGTATGAAATGGGGAGAGAACATTTTAGAACAGTTTGGAATGGGAGATATATTCTAGAACAGTGAAATGGGGAGGGAACAATTTAGAACAGTAAAATGGAGGGAAACATTCTAGAACGGTTTAAAATGGGGGAGACATTCTAGAACAGTGTAAAATGGTGAGAATATTCGAGAACAGTTTGGAATGGGAGATGTATTCTAGAACCGTGTGAAATGGGCAGAGAACATTTTAGAACAGTTTGGAATGAGATATATATTCTAGAACAGTGTGGAATGGGCAGAGGACATTTTAGAACAGTAAAATGGAGGAAAACATTCTAGAACAGTGAAATGGGTGAGGCATTCTAGAGTGTGAAACTGCTGAGAACACTAGAACAGTTTAGATGGGGGGCAGAATGCGAAACGAGAACAAAATGGCCTTAAGAACATTGTGTGAAAAATAAAGCGTGATGTTTTTGAATGAACTGTTATGTTTCTGGTTCTTGTAGTCCAGAGAGCTTTGCGCTTAACGCTGACTCTGTAGGGGGGAACGCTGCTCATACACTACATTACCCAGAAGTCTAATCGTCTAACATTCAGAGGAAGGAGACCGGGAGCATGGCAGCCAGGATACTAACGAAAGGTGAGCCGTTTGTAATGAATGTGTTCCTCTGTTGAAAATGTGCCTCTGAGCGGAGATTTATCGTCTTGTCTTGTTCGATAAAGCATGTCTATAGAACATGTAGCGAACCTGTGTTGGCTTAATAACGTTCACGTTCACTTCGTGTTCGAATTTTCCGTTCCACCTTAAATGGTGCAGTAGTTGCCGTCAGGCCTCGCAGGCGGCAGAATGGAAGTGCTGCACCATTTAAGGTGGAACGGAAAATTCGAATAAGAAGTTGGAGAATAAGCCAAATTCAGAGGTTTCGTCATTAGGATCAACAAATTCAGGTATCAGCTGCTGTGGAGGACAGACAGAAACATCTCCCATTACTATTATATTATTATTTAGTATTATTATTGCTATTTACATACCTAAGGTCACCATGCCGAATGCCAAGCGTGGTCCAGAGGGGGATAAAGCTTCCTACCGTTGGGCTGTTGAGCAATGGATCCCCATCCAACACCTTTGGAGTTGGAGTGTCTAGAACTGAACATCCAACATCAGTCCCTAACCTCACTAATGCTTTTGTGGCTGAATGCAGTCAAGTCCTCACAGCAATGTTCCAACGTCTTGTGCAAAGTCTTCCCAGAAGAGTAGAAGCTTTTACTGCAGCAAAGGGGGACAAACTCCCTATTAAAGTGGGAAATCTGTCTCTTTTTGTTTTTTTAATTCCTCCATAATTCAGTGATTATGATGTAAACAGTCATTCAGAGTGGTTTGGTGTGAAATGGTTCAGAGGTCTTTACAGTGGTGGTGACAGGAACCAGGGGTCGCCATGACTACAACACAGATATAGACATTTTACTTACTATCCAGAACCACCAGTGAACCTACACGGGTTTTCGGAGTTTATATGGAATGTTGATGATGGTAAAATAGTGATAAATCTGAAATTATAAGTTTTCTTTGGGGACTATTTTACCTCACAACACCCTGCATGTATCCCTCCACCATGAATTGATAAAAAAGGTACATTTTAGGCCAAAATATTCTCAAACTATTGGAATACAATGCATATTCATAATCATTTCATGCAAGAACTTTCTGTGAGGGAGCTTTTAGAGGTGGACGTCTGGTTCCTATCACCACCACTGTGAACAGTTCTGACTTTCTAGAGCGGAGCATTTCACACCAAACCACTCCGAATGACTTTGTTCACATTTTAACTGTTTAACTATGCAGAACTTTTTAAAGATATGTGTAATTCATCATACCTTTGATCTAAGAAAAAATCTTGGATAACAACTTTCGGTCATGTAGCGTAGGAGTCATACCCGTGAACACTCTTCTAATCTGTCACTTAACTCTGTGATGGAGCGTTTTACTGAGGGAATTGTTGCCGGACATTGCAAAGCCCTCCTCAGTCATGTCCACTGTATTTCTCTCAGTAACATTTACTTGGCTTTGTCTCTTTTTGTTTTAACATGTCAGCGATCCACAGTCTCCGAAGTCCTGGTGTGGTTGGAGGTGCGCTCTCCTGCAATGGCCACACGTTCTCTAGTGCCGCTGCGGCTGCCAGACCTCCGGCCCCCAGCGAGGACGCAGGTATGACTAATAAAACCTCATCTAGACTCATCTTAGTACTCTTATAGACTTCAGGTATCTTAAAAAGTCATTTGTAATGTGAAATAAAATTAATAATTGTGGCTTATGTTGTCATTTTTAACCAGAATTTGGAACCTGGGACTGCAGTGTGTGCACATAACTTATGTTTGCAGTCAAAAACTTCATGTTTATGAGGTAAAATGTATGAGAACCTACTAAACATACTCTGTGGAAGAGTGTAGCTTAGTTTAACAAGCTCTCCACTGACCAGCTTAGCAGATGGAACCAGAGTTTTTTCCAAGTCATTTTGGGTCGTTTCTTTTGGTCCGTTCATCATGAAATTTACACACAATGTAAAGGACAACAGGTATTTTCAAATTATGTCAAAAAATGGAGATACAAGGTATTGTTCAACAGCTATATATATATATATGATAATATAAAGAGGTGGACAATATGTCGATACACAACTTGCCATGATATATGTTTTTTCAGATATCTGATCCAGTAGTGCTTTAGAGGTTTAAAAAAATACTATCAAAAACTCTGGATACAATGATTTTTATTCAAAATTTTGTATACTGTATTTCACTAAATCCAGATAACAGGACTTTAACGTTGTACTTGATGCTACTTATTATGGACTCACCTGCGATGTGTCTTGTGTCATGTGAACGGGGCCTTTGAGATTAATGGATGTAGTTTTGTAGGTGTGCACACAGTGTTAGGACATTAATCTGTGACCTCACTCTCACGTCTGGTCTTCCCTCTGCTGTTGTGTGTCCGGTGTTTTGCATGCAGCTGTGAATGAAAAGATCCTGAACGTTCCTCTGACCCAGCCTGACTACTTCCACCTGTCCGAGCTGTTCACCGTAAAGGACCTGTTTGAGGCCCGAGTGCACCTTGGACATAAGAAAGGCTGCAGACACAGGTGGGCACTGCACAGAGCAATAGATCAGCTTTGAAGAACAATATATGTGGTCAAATAAAGTCAGTCCATTCAGAGTATGCAAGTTTGTATGTAAGGAGGCACAGTGAGTGTGTTTACATGCACTCAGTGATCCAATCATAATCGGATTTCTGCAGTTATCTGGTTATTCAAATGGTCATATAAACACCATAGTCCGATCTAGAAATCTGATTAAGAAGTCTGATAAAGAGGCTGGATTTTAGCTGATCAGATTTCTCAGTGCATGTGAACTCTTACTCTGATTTCTTTCGCATTTCTCAGTCTGCGCGTGTGTGAAAACAGACGGCGGTACTGGAAATAAGCGAGCAGCGTTGCTGCAAGATTACAGCAAAACACTGAGCGACGCTGAAACCGACTACATGCTTGACGAAATTAAGGATTTAAATATTCATATTCTAGATGATGTATGTTCATATTTTTAGGTAAAGTTGCGTGATGTTTTAAAAAAATCCGCAGCATGAAGTTTGAGTTTGCAACGTTACGTTTACGTTGCATCTTCTTCTGTGAGTTTATTGGTCGGTTGTAAAGCAGAAATCTGATTACTGTCTGACTCATGTAGACTCCCCATTATCTGATTACTCAAGTGCATGTAAACGCGTTGATCGAATTACTGACAACCTGATTTTCTGCAGTTTTGGATTATTGAGTGCATGTAAACGTACTTTCTGTCTACAACACAAATGGTCAGTGAATTTCTGTGAGATTTTACATATAATATTCAAAATGATGACCTTTTTGTATTTATATAGTATTTTGTTGTTGCCTTGCATGTATATAAAATATATATATTTAAGATCAAAAGCTTGTCTCTGAACTGTCATACAACAGTGTCTCAGATATCAGGCAGACTATCTGTACCTGTCTTGTGTAATAGCTTTCTATGAGGAAGCTTTTAGAAGTCTGCTGTTACATATAATAAAAGTTGTTTTTGTTATTTTTTGGGGGTACAGTAATAAATGAATAAAGGACAAACTTGTTAAGGAGTGTTAATAAGAGAAATATCAATATAATCTTAACGATACCCACCCTTAATACTCGCTAACTACCTGACCCTATCCCTCAGGCTGATGGAGCCGTATCTGTTCGGCAGCCGCCTGGATGTCGACATTATTGACCTGGAGCAGACTGCGGACCACCTGCAGAGGGCGCTGAACTTCACGGCACACGTGGCGTACCGTGGCGGGAATCGTGATGTTCGTGAGCCGCAGACGTCAGTTCGCTCACCTGGTGGAGAGGACGGCGCAGGAGTGCGGAGAGTACGCGCACACGCGCTACTGGCAGGGTGGGCTGCTCACTAACGCCCCCGTGCAGTACGGGCCGGGAGTGCGTCTGCCCGACCTCATCGTCTTCCTCTCCACGCTCAACAACGTCTTCCAGACGCACGTGGGCATCAGAGACGCCGCCAAAATGAACATCCCCACCGTCGGGATCATGGACTCCAACTGCAACCCGAGCTTGGTTACGTACCCGGTGCCTGGCAACGATGACACGCCTGTCGCCATGGAACTGTACTGTCGGCTGTTCAAGATGACCATCAACAGAGCGAAGGACAAGAGGAAACAGATGGAGCTGCTCAAGGGGATATGAGAGTGATTGATAGCAGGGTGGACAGAGGGAGGAGGGGGGAGCAGAGGGGCAGGGAGGTCATCATTTAGGCCAGAGGTTCTCAATCACAGTCTTTTGCTGTTAACCTGATGGTCCAAAAGTCAGCAGTGGTCACCAACCCTCGTTCGGAGGTTTCACCTCCAACCCAAATCTCCTGTCAGCTAATTAAGGACTTCTTAAAGGGGAATTCCACCAGTTTCTCAAAATTTTGCATAATTCAGCTGTTGTGATTTGACCTAGAGACAGTTTACAGTGGTGATGATGCGATATATATATAAAACACAAATATTGCAATTTTATTTACTATCCGAAAAAACAACCGGTGAACCTACACGTGTCTTCTGAGTTTTCACATGGAATGTTGATGCTAAAATAGTGGGAAAAGCCCAGGGGGACCCTGCATGTACCCCTGCACCACGTATGGATTTAAAAAAAAAGAAATACATATTTTAGGCCAAAACCTTCTCAAAACTACTGTAAATCAATGTCTCAGACATCAGGCAGCATTGGGTTCCCATCATCACTACTATGAACAGTTTTGACTCTCTAGAAAGGAGCATTTCACATCAGATGGAAAAATGTACACAGGATGAAAACATATCTGGTTTAGAACAGTGTTGTTTACTGTCCCCCATAAAGATAAACAGGTCAGAACCGGATTTACAGCATGACGACAGGACTTCAGTGGTCTATTAGTGATGCAGCCTGCAATATCTATGTTTTCTTTATCATGATAAGCGTTCCCTATGTGAAGTATGCTAAATTAAAGATGGGTTCATGTTCATATTTATAATGTGGTGATCTTGTGTTTTATTTAACTTTGGAGAGCTAAGCTGTGAATTTGCGCACAGCCGTAACTGGCTACGATGACACCGAGGTGCGAACCAGCACCGTTTTAATAATGCGGTACCCGCTCAGGGGCCGAGCCCTCGCAGGCCTCTCCAAATTGGAAAATAACATCTATTAAGCTGCATTTTTTAAGATGGGGATATTTTGATTAGTTTTTTGAGCGCTGTCGCTCTGTCGCTCTGTCGCTCTGGCCTATCAAATCATTACGCTCTGTCACATTGTCAGCGCCTGTCAACTGGCATGAGGACACCGAGATCGCCATATGTTTCTGAAGACAAGACAACACAATCAGATTATGATGCAACCCCATAGCTCGTTTTTGGACCACTCATAACGTTGCTAGCTAAATCAGCCCACTTCAGTTCCAGTAGCTGCTCAGTTTAGGCCACAGCCTCTGTAGTTGATTCATTAGGGATCAGTGGTGGTTCTAAGTTGCATTGAAACTCGAAACAAACCACAAATGGGTAAAGAGTAAAATGATGAAACAAAATTAAACAGGGTCACTGGAGTTTATGGAACATTATCTAGACGTATATGGGAAAGCAATAAATGAAAAGAAAACCCTGCTGAAAAGAACCCATGGAAACCATTAAGATAATGATTTTGTTATCTCGAGATGACAAGATAAGTAACTTGTTATTGCAAGACAGCAGTGTTTTGCTTTGGGCAGGTGTGCTCACTGCCCCCTAGTGCGTGCGTTCACTAGTGTGCGTGTGGGTGTTTCACTGCAGGGATGGGTTAAATGCGGAGCTCTGATTCCTCTGTGTGCAACACAGCTGGCCAATGGTTCACTATACTATACTATACTAATTAACTCGTTATCTCAAAATAACAATCCAAAAAATCATAACTACCTCATGGCCTCTCTGGACTTCCGTACCATGCTGGTCTAAGCTAGGCCATGGTGGTTAATGCTGGCATAGTGCTGGCCTGGTTCTGGTTTAGCAGGTCACCCAACATGGTCATGCTGGTTAAAGTGAGTAAGGACAAAAAGACAGACGCACCTGCCTGTTAAACAAGGAGCTGGACTGCGTTCACTTTCATAATAAGAGTCCTCCTTTTCTGCTTAATTATCATCACGTTTGATATTATTGAGGTATTTTTGCTCAGATATTTATAAAATGTGGGCTAGAAATTGTGACATGAGAGAAAGAGAAAATAATGCCACTGTAATAGGCTACAAAATAGATTTTTTATGCTGAATGATATTTCCAGTTTCATTTTATGTTTAAATATTGGCCTATAAAGTGTTAGATATCAATCTGAGAACTCTAATATTAGGTGTGCTTTCAGCAGAAAAGTTATTTTGAGATACAAAGTAAAAATTCTGAGAGAGAAGTCATGTCGAGATCAGCATGTTAAGAGAAAAGTCATTTCTAGATCGTACATCAAGATTTTGAGAGAAAATCTGTGGAGATATTAAGTCAAAATTTTGACAGAGAATTCATTTTGCGATATTAAGTCAAAATTCACAGAAAAAAGTCATTTTGAGATACTAGGTCAAAATTTAGAGGAAAGTAAGATACAAAGTCAAAATTTTTAGAGACGTCATTTTGAGATAAGTCAAAACTTTGAGAGAAAATTCATTTTGAGATACCAAATCAAAGTTTCAAGAGAAAAGTCATTTCAAGGTTCTATGTCTAAAATTTTACAAAAGCCATTTTTAGATTCTAAGTCAAAATTTGGAGAAAAGTCATTTTGAGATACTAAATTTAAAAAATTTGACAGAAGTCATTTTGAGATTCTACATCAAAATTTTGAGGCAAAAATTATTTTGTGATAGTATATCAAAATTTCAAGAGAAAAGTTGTTTTGAGATACTAAGTCAAAATTTCAAGAGAAAACTCATTTGAGATACAGTCAACATTTTTAGAGAAGTCATTTTGAGATATTAAGTCAAAATTTTGAGAGAATTCATTTTGAGATACTAAATCAAAGTTTCAAGAGAAGTCATTTTGAAGTTCTATGCCTAAAACTTTAGAAAAGCCTTTTTAGATTCTAAGTCAAAATTTTGAGAGAAAAGTCTTGAGATACTAAATTTAAAAAATTTGACAGAAGTCATTTTGAGATTCTACATCTAAATTTTGAGACAAAAATTATTTCGTGAAAATATATCAAAATTTGAAGAGAAAACTCGTTTTGAGATACAAAGTCAAACTTTTTAGAGAAGTCATTTTGAGATATTAAGACAAAATTTCAGGAGAGACGTTTTTTCAGCTTAGTTCCTGTATATAAACTGGGGCGTGAGCAGTACGCTTTTCTCTGCTATGGGCCCGTTAAAGGTGAATGTGCATGTTCTTCAGTCTTCTTGTTGCCCGATGAGACGCAGCCGTGGCTGCGATGCTGCGGCTGTGCTGTATGCAGGCAGACAGAAACTGGCTCGTGATCAACCCTGTCCCTGCACATGGGCTAGGGGAATGGAACTGGGCCAGATAACCCCAAACACACTGGGGTACTTTAATACTCTGATGATAAATCAGATGTACACAGTTTTCTCCATAACCCCAAAATGTAGTCGATCAGCCAAGGCATGCTTTGGTGTGCGAAGTTTGCTTCTTTAGTTTTAGCACTAGAGCTACAAGGCTAATGTAGCTAACAGGTACTGGAAGCTTATAGGACAAATCAGCACCACATCACCTAAACACAGAACTAATGCTGCTTTCATCTTAACTGGGAAACGGGAAGTTGAAGTTTGGGAATTGACCTACATACTTTTGAGCTAAAAAAAAACATGGATGCTATTGTTAACAACAAGCTATTCAGCTAACAGGAGTTATATGAGTGATGACTTTAATGTTAATGGATTTATCTTCTCAAAACAGCAGAAAAATGTTTTTCCATTATTGTTGATTTTGGGCACAGCCATGCTGATGTGAGAGACGCTGAACCCTTCCTATTTTCCGATTAGGAATTCCCAGATAAGGGAACGTTTTCTTTGGAAATTCCGAGTTACAAGCTCTAGTCGAACACAACATTGAGTGCGTTTACATGATAATAATAATACAATTCTAATCAGATTTCTGCAGTTATTTGATTATTTAGGTGGTCGGGAAAACAGTCTGATTTCCTAGATCGGATTAAAGCTGTGATCGGATTTCTAGAAATCTGGAACAGCAAGCAGCGTTTAACACAGCACGCAAGACGCCAACAAAACACTTTTGGAGCGACGCTTAAACCGACTACATGCTTGACGAAATGAAGAATTTAAATATTGTTCATCCTCAGATGATGTATATTCATATTTTCTGCTAAAGTTTATTTTTTAAGAAAAAAGTCACAACATGATATTTGAGTTTTCTGTTACGTTTACAACACATCTTATTCTGGGAGTTTATTGGCCGGTTGCAAAGCAGAAATCTGATTACTGCCTGACTCATGTAGACCTGGAATTTTGCCCAATATCTTATTACCCAAGTGCATGTAAACACGCTGAACCAGTTACTGACAAAATCTGATTTTCTGCAGTTGTGTGTAAACACACTCACTGTTTCTATGTGGACAGTATGAGAAGCACTGCTTTGGTGTAACAGGATTTTGTACTGAATTGAATAAATTCAGTATTCAGTAAATTTGATAATGCTAAAAAATAGTAAAGCCTTTCAAATAAATGACAAATACTTAAAACCTGAAACCTCACGATTCAGTGGGGAAAGGCTAATGCTAGCACTGTTAGCACACAGTTGCCAGCGATCCCTTTAGAGATAAACATGGCTGTATTCTGAATTGATAGAGTTTTTTAGAGTAGGGCTGCAACTAATATTTTATAATATTCAATAAATTTGATCGTTTGAATGTACAAAAACAGTAACCACTCACATAAGCGACACTTTTCTGAAATCTTGTGCTTCAGGGAGGAAAGGCTAAATGCTAGCTTGACACCATTAGCACTGCACAGAAACCTAGGCGATAAGCACGGCTGTGGAAACTCCATTTTTAACTGATTCTGATTGGAGGTGACAGTTTTAGTCTGTTTTAACACCACAGGCCTGTTTACACCTTGCATTAACATGCGTTTCTGGTGACTGGATTCACTTGACCGCATGAAACGAGGTGGTCAGAGACAATGTGAGGGGTAAACAGGCTCTGTAAGTTGCCTCCTGCTTTGGATTGCTAGCTAGCTGGCATGTTCTCCGTTACATTTGTTCCACACAAGATTTTCCTGTTATTTCCAACATTTTAAGTCTGTTTTCTGTTTGTATGAGCTGCTCTGTTTGTTGGTAATGAGCTGCTTCCATGCTAACCTGATGTGAGTTATCCACCCTGAAGTATAGCTAACTTCTATCTTTGGTCTCTAGCCTATCAGTTAGCATGGTGCTAACAGCCTGACTTAATCATCACAAACTTGCCTCAAGCCACTTCAGAATGTGTGGTTTCTGATGCTGCATGGCAAACTGTCGTGTAAAAAAGTGGACGAAAGTGTATCACATAGCTAAAAACAGTGGCAGCGTCTTGAAACTTGAATTTTGAAAATGTAAAAAGTGAGTAAATTGGATTTTTAAAGGGACAATATCATGGAAAAGTGATTTCTTTCCTTACTTTTATGAAATAGAAAGATGGTTAAAGTTTCAAACATCATTCGCTACCCAGTCTGCATAGTCTATACATGGAAACTAAGCAGAACAATTCATTGTTTTTGTGATGTCATAAAAACCCACGTTTACATATCCTCCTATTCAGCCTACAGCAGTTTAGCCCTGCCCACTCACACTGGAGTCATAAGGAAGGTTTGATGGTTGAATGAGGCACCATCAGAACAGAGCTCATTCACTTATATTACAAGTTTATTAATTATTAGTTTAAAGGCAAATTACAGTCTAATTCAAAGGGATAAAGAGGGTCATGAATTATGACTGTTTTGGGGTGCATAAACGCACAATAAATGTCCTGAGCAGCCCTCAGGGGGAAAAACAAAATAAATAAATGTATTTTATGAAATAAAATGAACAAAGAAAGATGTAGAAGATGAGCCCTTTAACTAAACCACTCCTTTAAATAGTCTTGTATTTACCTTCTGTTATAAAGTGAAACTCTGTATTGATACATGTTTGCTCCACTTTTGGTTAAACCTGGCTCACAAACTACACTCTGTACCCACAATGCAACAGTGCACAGGGTGAGTGACAGGCCCAACATACAGCAGTCATGTCAGAGAATGTGCTTTGAGGAGAGCTGCCACTCAGTATTGTCTTCTGGGTTTGTCTAACAGTAGATGGCGCTCCTGAGCAAGTCCAGCATGACTGGGCTCCCATGAAGCTTTAGTGCAAAATCATAGTTTGTAAATGCTTCTTCATTTTTATATAGGATGCATTGTTTTGTTTACCACAGAACAGCATAAACATTTCAACACTGCTGTTATATTTTTACTGCAGCTATAGGACTTCACAACAGTGTCTTATGACAGGGAGCACGAACCCCTTTACTCAGGCAAAGAGCTGATCAGCTCACCAACTAATCAGCTCTCAGTAGCAGTAATGCTCACCAATCAGCACTCAGGAGCAATAATGCTAACCAATCAGCACTCAGGAGCAGTAATGCTAACCAATCAGGACTCAGTAGCAGTAATGCTAACCAATTAGCCGTCAATAGCAGTAATGCTCACCAATCAGCACTCAGTAGCAGTAATGCTAGCCAATCAGCGCTCAGTAGCAGTAATGCTGACTCAATCAGGACTCAGTTGCAGTAATGCTAACCAATTAGCCCTCAATAGCAGTAATGCTAATTAATCAGCACTCAGTAGCAGTAATGCTAGCCAATCAGCGCTCAGTAGCAGTAATGCTAAGTAATCAGCACTCAGTAGCAGTAATGCTAATTAATCAGCACTCAGTAGCAGTAATGCTAGCCAATCAGCGCTCAGTAGCAGTAATGCTAACCAATCAGGACTCAGTAGCAGTAATGCTGACCAATCAGGACTCAGTTGCAGTAATGCTAACCAATTAGCCCCCAATAGCAGTAATGCTAATTAATCAGCACTCAGTAGCAGTAATGCATCCTTTGGCCCAAAACCATTTTCTGTAGAAAAAAGATCTATACTAGTAAATTTTCTCTGCTTTTTTAGTGAAATACATCCACTTTCTAAAATTGAAGTCCCAGAGAAACTATTTTAACTTTTGTGTTTAGCTGTTTAGCTTTATTTATAAAACTAAGTTTTATTTAGTTTTATTTTTGTATAAACGACACATTAATGATTGTTGTGAAACCTCTTTTATACCTCTGTTCTTCCTGTCTGACCCCACAGGGTGGACAGGATCATTCCTTTGTCTGCCAATGCAAACCTGGAAGAATGAAGCTAATCATGTGACCCTGTGTAACAGGTAGTGATGGGGCGGCATTACATTTACTGTCATGATGACCAGCAGCACAGTTTGTGGTCCGGGTGGGCAATATGACAGTATTTATTATTATTGTGACCACTGACCAACTGCATGATTTATTATGAGCATAATTAGTCTTGTTTAACTGAATTTGGGTCAATGCATTAAGTGAACCACTGCATAAAAGTCACTGGACCAGATTCATAAAGCGCAGCGCCAGATTTACCGTGAAGTTTAGAGCGAATTGTGTGGCGGAAACACGTTCGTTACTGTTCATTCATAAACGAGGATTACTAGTCGAAATGTAATATTTACTAGTGGAATTTAAATTTTCACACATGCAAACTGAATTCCTGAGATAGAAAAAAATGGCTTGCCATAGTCATCAGAATTTCAGCAATATAATTTTTAATTGTGTGGAAAAAAATTGCATATTTTAAACTTCAATTCATGTTCGTAAAAATTGATACTGTAATTTTAATAAATTGGAAAAAGGCTTAATTTCTTACCGGTGAGACATGAAATCTCACATGCTAAAATATAATTCTGCATTAAAATTCTAAACATAGATACCAAAAATTTACTATTATTTGCTGCACTTCTTCGTAGCTGTTTCTGAGAACTTGTTTCCTTGTTTTCATTTCTTTCATCGTGTCCTTTTTGGCAGCCAACCGGAGCTTCTTGGCACGGGTCTTTACCATGTATGAGGTCATTTACATGTGGATTTTGATTGGCTCTTGTCTAGGAAACTGATGAAAATACATTTCCGCACTTTTCGCGTGGCGTAGCGCTGTTGCCGTCTAGTTTTAGGAATCTGGCCGTTTGTTTTCGTATGTTGATAGTGTTTTTTTTTATATGTGGCACAGAAAATCAAAATATTGTGGTACATATTGTGTATTAAGAATATGCCTTGAAATATTGTGATACTTTGTCCATATTGTTTTTGGTATTATCATAGTATTGTGCAAATAAGCTGAAGCATCAATGCACACTGACATAATTTCACTACTGTTATTACACTGATAGACTCTTGTGTCATCACCAGCACTACTGCTGTTTACTGTTTATTTATTAACTATGTTGTCCTGCTGTGTGCTCTGTAGCGCCCATTTGTTTACTTTCACTGTCAATTTTTAAAATTATGCATGCTTTTCATGGAATTATTAACATCTGAAACAGTCTGATTTGTATGCATTTCTAAGAATGAAAATACTTGATAATTTCTAGTGTTAAAACTTGCTAAATTAATAAATTGTCAATATAAATCCACTTTGTTTTGTATGTTCACATGACTGAAGCATTTATAACAGATAAAATGAAATGAAATAAAAGTAAATCATTATTAAGTAGTGCCTCATTTCTGCTTTTTTGAGTTTTTTTGAAAGAAAAGTTATTAATGATGTCTTCAAAAGATTTTTTAAAATAAAAACAGAAAAAAATGGGTCTGGAGATGCCACAACCACTTTCTGGAAAGACTCACAGACACTTTCAAGGTCCAGTTCAGATAGTTTATTCCTAACAGAGCGATGGAGGCTCCTGATAGAGGATGAGTGGGGGACATGGAGGTCAATGTGGCTCATTTGGGGTACAACGATGAATAGTGCTGCTCTCTATGGTGAAACAAAAGGAACACAAAAGCATGCTTTTCAGCAGTGTGGTACCCTCCAAGGTAAAGCCGCAGTCCCCAAGAATGGGGAGCTGAACGTATTCAGATAACAAGAGCTCACATTAGGTACCTTAGTATGAACAAGGCATTAGAACGTGTTATTAAAGGAAGAGCTAGATGATAAATATACACAATTTTCCCTTTTACTCCCGGTGTGTTCATCAGCCAAGACATGTTTAATGTCTTATGTTTGCTTCCTTAGTTTTGCACTGGAGCTACGAGGCTAATAGTCGACACCCTTTAATCCAATCTTATAGAGAAAATTGTGTCAAGTCATGAAACCTAATATGCAAATTTATTTGATATTACTTAACAACCCAACATGGTTTGAGGCGAGCGTATTACGCTAAATGATGCTATATAGACTTCCATTACTCGTTAACTGCATTAGCTTCGTAGCTCCAGGGCAAAACTAAAGTAGAAATTGCTGGCCGAAAGAGACCCTCAATTTCGGTGCAGTTAGCAAGATAGCTAACCTGCCAACCAAAAACACTAAACAGTGAACATGATTTTACCTTATAATTATACAGTCATGAGAGCAGACTGCTTTACAGAGTGGCAAAAAAGTGTAGATAACTAGCATGACTGGCAGCAGTACCTAGTCAAGCAGCTAACCTAGCAGCTAGCAAGCTGGCTACCGTAAAATAAACACAAAAGAATATATAGTTATGCCATCTAACACAGCCTCCAAACTGATTGTATGTACAGCTGCCTCTCTGCTGTGTTTGTTTACAGCCAGAGAAGAAGAAATATTCATGCTCAGCCTCTGCTAACATTTGCATTTTCTCCATTTTGGATCTCCAGAGATGCTAATGAAGCTCTGCCATTACAGAGATCAGAGCAGGCAAAGCAGGTCAAGGTGTGTCAGAATTCACTATTCACTGAAGTAGAATGTGAAAATTCGCTGTGGAAGTCTGTGAATATGCTCACTGTGATGTGCTTTAGCACGTTAGTCTTAAAGTGACTGGGCCTTACTGTAGTCTTGCGGGAACAACCACGAGAAATTTTGGGCTAAATGTGGGGGAACATAGACTTATTAAGTGATAGGTGGAGATCATAGTAGGGGGCGCAAGTGCGCTCATCAACATTGGCAGACAACAAGCCTATCGTTAGCACACGTATGTAGCATAAGTTACCGGAGCTCAAAACAGACAGCAAATAGTACACAGAAAAATTGTTTCATCGTTTCATTTGCTAGCTAGCTTGTTTTGCTTGTTATTGGCAACTTTTCTGAGGGGGCAACATTTGTTAGCAGCGGATTTAGCCGCAATTGAGTACCAAAATTTCAAGTGGTCAACCGATGTGTATTCTTCATTATGAGATCATGTCTGGCCCCACAAAACTAGCCACCTGTTTCAACACAGGTTTTAAGCCCTGATCCACTTAGCCTTGGGGGAATCTCTCCGACACCGTTCTGTTACTTTATTAGCTCAGGTGAAGTTTCTTAGATGAGCTCTGAGGGGGTGAGGGGCCGAGTGAATAGATGTGTTGACTTCAGCACCAGAACTTACCCAGAAATCATTGAAATCTGATGGACGTCCCCTTTCAAACCTGAAAACAGTGTCAGATAAAGCTGTTTGTATACAGTGAACTACTTTAAAATGCTTCACATTTCGGAACCACAACATTCAGTTTGCTGGGATTTAGGTTGCAAAGCTATTGATAAAACTTCATCACTTTGCTGGCTAGGTTGTTGTTAGCATGATTAAGGCTACATGGCTAAAAACAACAAAAAGAAAGTCTCCAGATTTATAGTCAAAGCAATTATTCACAAATTTTATGTGTTATGCTCAAACTTCTAAAAAAAATAGGTTTTGCATGGCTAGCCGATTAGCACATTGATGCTAGCCTAGCTCCTCCTCCAGCGAGTGACCATTTGTGTACCATCCGAGCGGTGAGTCAAAGTGGGCGAGGACATTTTAAACGAAGTCCTGAAGTAAACATGTCTTGGCTGATCAGCTACATTTGGGTGAGGGGGACATGATGGAGATTAGACTTTTCACAGAACTATTCCTTTAAGCACCTTGTACAGGTCTCTGAACTGAAACACAGTTCTTCAGGGGAATGCTGTGCTCCACGTCAGAGGTTAATTAGAATGTTCCTCGAGGTAAAAGAACCTTTACAGAGGCCATGCGACATGGGGAGATCTGAGAATGTGTGGTGTATGGAACTCCATGGTACGGTCACTCACATATTATCAGGTGTTCTCAACACAAAATTTAAATAAAAACACACATACAGTCGCCATTCTCTCACACCAGCTAATACGGACTTCCCTGATTGGTTGCTATGACGTCATATTTCTTCACTCGGGGTGAACACGTAGTGTTTACATGGGTAAACTACTCACTCTCACAGAAGCTCTGAGAAAGGACGGCATGTTAAAATAAACAATTAGGAATAGAAGATGGAGAAAAGAGCGCCGTCTCAATTATCACAGCAGTAACTTTACACTCATCTTACACATTCATTTTTAGACACTTTAATGCTGTTAAAATGAAACGGAATTGCACTGATTTTTCAAAATTTCTGCATAATTTAAGGAAGATGTCATTTAGAGTGGTTTGGTGTGAAATGCTCTTTTGCAGAGAGTCAGAATTGTTCACAGTGGTGGTGACAGGAACCAGACGTCCACCTCTAAAAGCTCCCTTACATAAATTTATTATATGAAATGGTTTTGAGCCTAAAACAAATTTTGGCCTAAAACAATAAATTTTTTAATTCACTCATGGTGAAGAGATTCACCAGATCTTAGAGCAAAGAAAACTTCATTTTTTCATATTTATTTTACCATCATCAACATTACACATAAAAATTCAGAAGACACGTGCAGGTTTACTGTGAATAAAATGTCAATTTTTTATAGTTATGGACATGGCCACCCCTGGTTTCTATCACCACCACTGTAAAGAAATCTCTACAATGAAACCTTTTCACACCAAACTACTTTGAAGTACATGGCAAAGGTTTATTTATGCAGAAATTTTGGAAAATTGGTGGAATTCCCCTTTGAACACAAAACCTCAAAGCAAAAACTGTGGAAAAACTACAGATCATGATTTCCCGCTAATAACTTCTCATACGTTCACACACATAAGTCCAGCATTTGCCTCTTTAGGTTAGATTCAAACAAAAAAACAAGTGCCCTAATATGGACCCTTGAGGAACCCCAACCAATGTTTTCTGTTTTATTCCAGCCCTCAAAACACCAACCTGCTGCAGACAAGTCCAGCCTTGGATTATCTGGCTCAAGTGTATCTGATAATAGAAAAGCATCTGGAAAGTTTTGGGCAATCCTGGACTGACGTTTTTCACCCAGGACCTCCTACAACTGTTTCAAAGTAGTTTCAGAGAAGGTCATTAACGTGGGTTGGTCTCTCGTGGGATGCTGTCCTTTGTGTTTCTGGGTGAGTGTAGGAACTTGCTTTTGACGTGACCTATAGTGTCAGAGAGTCCAGTCTGTGAAGGAGCTTTTCTAAAGTGCACTGCGTCATTGCAGGGGTGAGTAATGAGTGGACTGCCATGTTCGTCCTCGCCTCCAGGCTAAAAGAAGAGTACAGAAAGAGTGGGCTTTTCTGTATCTTCCTGCTTGGGGTTCAAATAACAAAGCAACCAACCGCCTTTCAATTCTGCATGACCCTCACAGGCCACCTTGCCATTGCTGCCTTGAGAAAATCTCCACTTTTTTGTGTTCACTTTTGAAAGCTGCCCTTTACATTGTTATGAATGGACCAACTGAAAATTTAAAAAACAAGATTTCTAAAACTACCACACTGGCCAGGTTGGACTTTTGGAGTCGCAATAAAGTTTGCAGTCCTGTAGGGTTACTGCAGGTTCTGTAGGGTTACAGAGATATTAGATTTTCTTACGACAGCAACGATACAACAAAATCCCCCTTTTAGTTCTGCCTGCCCCTCACAGCAATTGTTTTGTATTCCTATTAGTGAATCCCTGAGCCTCTCAGCCTGCCATACCCTTTCTCTTTTTATCAGGACTACTTGGTGAAAGACGCCATCACAGGCCACTCTGTATGTCCCATGCATTCCTATCAGAGAACTTCCTGAGCCCTTCGGCCTGCCATACTCTCCCTCCCTCTATCCATCGCTCTCCCTCTCAAGAGTACTTGGTGTCAGAGATCTTCTTCCACAGCAGTGTCTTGAGGTTGTTGAGCACGAGTGAGTGGTGCACCTCCATCTGCGAGGCCAGGCCACTGAGGGTCACACAGGTGCGCAGCTGCCTGTCCAAGTCATCCAGCAGGTCAGCCGGTGCCCCGAACAGCAAGAAGTCCCTCAGGAGGGCGCACACCTTGGCCAGATTGGGCTGTACCACCTCCGTGTTGCACTGCTTGGCAAGCCGGTCGCAGGTCGCTGTGCAGTCGCGCCCGAACGTGCAGTCAGCATTTGTCTGGCAGGTTCGGCCACGAAGGAATGCTCGAACCGCAGCCTCGGATGCCACACTGCCAAGGTCAGCTATCTTGCAATCGTAATTAGCGTTGTAGCCGACACGGCTGGGGCTCGCATCGCACATGTAGAAACTCCCGTAGGCACCGTGGAAGACTTCCTCCACAAACTCCAGCAGGCCAATGGTGATCCTAGCCCGCCGGGGCCAGGCTGGAGCCAGCCAGCGGTTCAGGGCGCCGCTTAGAGCCTCGGGGACTAGAGGCTGCAGCCAGGGCGGGACATCTAGCCTAAAGAGGGCACTGTTGGCCACATGCTCCGTGGCATACAGATGGCCGCAGAAGCCTAGCAGCCGGGGGGCGTGCTCTTTATCCTGCAGCGCCAGCATCGGCACAAACTCATCAATCTGCAACAGGGCCCAGACGGACTTGGCCTCAGCCAGGGAGACTTTACTGTCTGAGTTGACATCAGCCAGAGAGACCACTCGGGACACCAGCGAGCCCAGAGATGGCTGCTCTCCCAGACTGTCCTAGAAGCAGAAAGAGAGAGGCATTAGGGAGGCACCATTATGGAATTCCTGGGTTGATATTTTCACTCTGCATCAGTGAGTGCATTAGCAAAAAAACAGGGGCCAAGTTATCATCTGTAATTGGTGCGTTACTATTCAGTTTCTAAAAATGACAGAACTAGCTGAATGTGTTATAAAAAACTTGCTCTATGTAAGGAAATCTGTCTTGTTGGTTCAAATTTAACGGCATCCCTTAGAGTGTGCTCAGACTTTGGCAGGTTGAGTTGGATGAAAACGAGTCCTTTTGTGATTGCTCTGTTAGTGCGGTTCATTAGAACAAGTGACAATGTTGCCATCTTAACTGTGGTGCACCAAATAAGTGGACCAAGACACCCTGAGTCAGGTCAGTCTCAGTTCGCTTCAAAATCGACCTCTGGTGCAGACCAAACATCGTCTAAACGGACCAAAGACAGACCAAACATCGTCTCCTCTCTGTAGAACTTCTCTGGCTCATGGAACAGACGAGTCATGCTTGTTTGACACCTGCGAGTGTTTTATCATCTCTTCATAAGCTCTGAACCAGTAACTACAGAACAAATAGTTCGGGTTGTTGGCACGTTTGAAGTCATTATAAACTGCTCCATATACACATTCGACTGCACACATAAATTGTGTGTTAATGTGCCGAGGTTTCTTTGTTCTGTAAAAGCAGTGAGGCACTCGAAACAGGGATTTCGCCCTGCTCTGCATCGCGCAAAACCATGTAACGCTGGGAGTCTCACTGCTCTAACATCAGACAGATAAAACAAGACATGAATAAAACCAATGTGCCCAGACAGAACAGAGAATAGCATGACTCAGAAAGTTCAGTGAACGTTATTGTAAATCAGAAAATCTGCCCATGCAGTCGTGACCTTTTGCTTGCATGACTTTAATTTACATATTTTGGTTTGATGTTAAATATGTGTGAATGCAAAACAAATCAGACCTAAAACGCAACAACGAGTGCACTCAGTAATCCGATCATTATTAATCCGATCACGGATTTCTGCAGTTGTCTGGTAAGGTGTAGAAATCAAACTGAAATCTGATAGAGAGGCTGGATTTTAGCTCAGTGATCAGATTTCTCAGTGCTGTAAACTCTTACTCTGATTACTTTCGGATTTCTCAGTCTGCGCATGTGCGAAAACAGACTGCGGTACCGGAAATAAGCGAGCAGCGTCGCCGCGAGATGCAGCAACACTGAAACCAAATACATGCTTGACGAAATGAAGGATTTAAATATTCTTAATCTTCTAGTTGATGTATGTTCATATTTTCAGGTAACGTTGTGCAATGTTTTTAAAAAAAAAAAGCAGCGGCATGAAGTTTGAGTTTTACATTATGTTTATGTCACGTCTTTTTCTGTGAGTTTATTGGCTGTTTGCAAAGCAGAAATCCGATTACTGCCCGATTCATGTAGACCTGCAGTTTTCACATTATCTGATTACTCAAGTGCATCTAAATATGTTAATCAGACTACTGACAAAATCTGATTTTCTGCAGTTATCAGATTATTGAGTGCATGTAAACGCACTCAGTGTATCATTTTCTGACCAAGAAACCCAACTACAAGTATTAACACACTCTTTGACTTTTCACTGGTTTCTTAGTATCTAAATTCCTGAGTTCCTCTTCTTTGTTTACTTGCGATTCTTGTTGGCCATGCTTGTGTTTTTTGGACACTGACAGTAGATTTGCCTGTTATTACTCCATCTGTCTTTTGACCTTTGCTCTGGACTTTGACAACGTTTCTGGATTAGCATCAGTAAACAGACTTGCATCTGGCCTCCGTGCCTCACATATTACAGTTTATTTCAAATTCAGTTTGCGCAGTGATTCGCTAGATTCAACTTATACTTGAAGGGCAAGTCCACCAATATTTCAAAATTTTGCATAAGCCCATCATTACAATGTAAACAGTCATTCAGAGTGGTTTGTTGTGAAATGGTTCAGATGTCTTTGCAGTGGTGGTGATAGGAACCAGGGGTCGCCATGACTACAACACAAATATAGACATTTTATTTACTATCCAGAACCACCAGTGAACCTACACGAGTCTTCTGAGTTTATATGGAATGATGATGATGGGGAAAAAAGTGAATGCCTGAAAACCACCAGTAAACCTACATGTGCCTTCTGAGTTTTATTAACATTCCATATTAAAATATATATTTTTGGGGGAATTATTTTGCCTCAATGCTCTGCATGTACCCCTCCACCATGAATGGATTCCGAGGAGTTTGTATATGTAATGTTGATGATGGTAAAATAGTGGAAAATCTGAGTTTTAAGGCCAAAACCTTCTCAAAATTATAAAACAGTGTCTCAGTCATCAGGCAGTAAATTCATAACCATTTCATGTAGGAACTTTCTGTAAAGGAGCTTTTAGAGGTGGACGTCTGGTTCCTATCACCACCACTGTGAACAGTTCTGACGCGGTAAGTTTCTCTAGAACAGAACATTTCACACCAAACCACTCTGAACGACTCTGTTTACATCTTAACCATTTATTTATGTAGAAACTTTGAAAAATTGGTGGAAATGGGAAGGTTCTGTTGTATAAACCTCTCACGGTTTGGCCTTTGGAAGTCATGGGTGTGTAATCTCCACTGCAACATCTGGTTGGTTACTGTTGCTTGGGTAGTGGTCACTGGCTGGTCATCCTGTGCTTTCTCTGTAGTCTCTGTTTGTGTTTTGGTGTGTGCTATTGTTCTGAGAGATTAAACACGAGGTCTCAGAGTTATTTTTGGCAGGCAGTGCCTCTTCCTCTTTTTCGCCCATCCCCCCTTTTGTCTCTCCTTTCTCCCGTTCCCAATGACTTGCTCTCTCACTTCTCTCTATTATACCCATCTCGCTCCCCCCTCTATTCTTTCGCTCTATCTCTCTCTCTCTCTGGGGAGCCCGCGGGACAGCTGCATGCGCTTCTGAAAGGGTCGGCGCGTCTTTCGTTGCCTTTGCTAAAGCTGAACTCTTTCATACAGCAGCCACTTCCTCTGACAGCTTGCAAAGCGCCTTGTACACCACACGGCTGCACAAAAAATCTGCAAATTCATCCCGTGATTGCAATAATACTGCCAAACTGAACAGATACGCCGCAGACATGTAACAGATAACCACAGTACAGTGAAGGATTTTGCATTTTTCCCTTATTGAATCAACACATCAGCCAGTTACCACATCCACTTTCAGCTGATTTGTGTGTGTTGGAACAGGAAGAAACACCAGAGGCTCCTCCAGCTGTTCTCCAAGGTTCAACCTACATATAAAGCTAGCTCAATGGTGCAGCAGCTGGGGATGCAGGCTATGCGGTTTCATACAGACCCGTCAAACATCTCTGCTTCTTATATTCTCAATGCATGATTGACCAATTATGAGCTACGCCTTATTATCTTAGCACGCCAGACACATGCAGCCGTTGCAGCGTGACAGCTTTTCCTGTAACGCAGCAAAAAGCCACTCAATAGTTTGGAGTCACTTGCCAACTTCTGCCATGTGGGTAGAACATTACACACTATTCACAAAGAGGTATTTATGGTTGTTTTGGTGAATATTTCACTAATTCTGTGAACCAGATAAGTGATGATACTTAATTGGAAATATGTTTTTACATGAAAGTTATTGAGATCTCATCTCCACTTTTCCAATAAGATGAGCTCTGGATCTTAATCGGATTATAAGGTAATTCCTGATGCTCCACAGCTCATTTTAGAATCTTCTCCAGCTCATCATTCTGGACACATCTAATATCTCTTCACTTTTATTTACAGATTTAGGGTCCTGCTGATTATTTGAAGCCTGTGAAATCTGATATATGGATTTCGGCAATCTAATGTATATTTGTCACATATGGACATATATCTGACATAAACGCCAACTTACTTGAAATTGGCCATTTTCAAATATGGGACATACACTATATGGATAAACGTTTTGGGACAATCCGTCAGTGAATTCAGTGAATTCTTAATCAGTGAATTCAGGTGTTTCATTCAGTCTCATTGCCACAGGTGTATAAAATCAAGCACCTAGCCATGCAGCCTGCCTTTACACACATTAGTGAAGGAACGGGTCTAAAGAGCTCACTGAATTTGAGTCTGGTACTGTAATAGGATGGCACCACTGCAACAAATCAGTTCACAAAATTTCTTCCCTCCTAGATTTTCCATGATCAACTGTGAGTGGTATTATTGAAAAGTGAAAGTGTTGAGGAATCACAGCAACTCAGCCACAAAGCGTCAGACCACGTAAAGGTTCAAACCTCCTCTGGATCAACATCAGCACAGAAACTGCACTGGGAGATTCATGGCAGGGTTTCCATGGCTGAACAGCTGCATTACATCACCAAGCACAATGCCAAGTGTCAGATGGAGTGGTGTAAAGCGCCGCCACTGGAAACGTTTTCTGTGGAGTGACCAATCAGCTTCTCTATCGGTCAGTCTGATGGAGAGTCTGGGTTTGGCGAACGCCAGGAGAACATTACCTGCCTGACTGCACTGTGCCAGCTGTAGAGTTTGGTGGAGGAGAGATGATGATATGGGGTTGTTTTTCAGGGGTTGATCTAGAACCCTTAGTTCCAGTGAAGGGAAATCTTAATGCTTCAGCACCAAGACATTCTGGACGATTGTACACTTCCAACTTTGTGGAACAGTTTGGGGAAGAACCTTTTCTGTTCCAGCCTGACTGAGCCCCAGTGCACAAAGCAGCTCCATAAAGGCCTGGCCGGGGAGTTTGGTGTGGAAGAGCTTGACTGGGCCTCACAGAGCCCTGACCTCAACCCCATCACACACCTTTGGGATGAACTAGAACAGAGACTGTGAGCCAGACCCTCTCGTCCAACACCAGTGTCTGACCTCACAAATGCTCTTCTGGATGAATGGGCAGAAATTCCCACAGACTCTCTCCAATATCTTGTAGAAAGCTTCCCAGAAGACTGGAAGCTGTTACAGCTGCAAAGGGGGACCAACTCCATATTAATGACAATGGATTTAGAATGGGATGTCATTAAAGCTCCTATAGGTATAATGTGTAGGTGTCCCAATACTTTTGTCCATAAAGTGTATATTTCAATCACATATAAACATATACAAACATATATGTGTAACATATTTATCATTATAAGAAAACATTCATATATAGAAGAATACTTATATATGCAAGCATCTTTTGCAGCCCTTGCCCCAAGTTGTTGCTGGCATTGATTTGCACATCACTGCATTCTGTTTTTATTTACATTTTGCACGGCGTCCCAGCTTCTTTGGAAATGGAGTTATATCAGAAATATATGTATGATCCATATATTGAGCATATATGCCCAATATTTGATACTTACATATGTATTCACAACATATATTTGAAATATTTGCCCGACCTTTTACAATAAATGTACATATATGACCATATATCAGATGTCAGAATGGGAATTCTATCATTGTTGAAAACAGCGACTGCAAATGTTTGAAGCTCCACAGAGGGAAGGATGTTCTGGTGAAGACGCTGACAGAGCAGTGTTGTTTCCAAATCAAATAAATAAATAAAGAAATAGAGAACGGCATCGTTGTGGTGAACCTCACCATCGGCTGAAAACGGAAACCACAACCAACTGCGCCAAGAGAGTCACTTCATTTACAGCTTCAGTGAAATCTGCACCGTCCTGATATGAGAGTTAGGATATATTAATATTGATTTTAACTTTGCTGCTATTGTGGTTAACAGTTTGCACCCTCTTCCATTTTGTAGTAATGTTTTAGGTATAAACTTACGCTGTATGGAGGAGATGGTGACGATAAAGTTGACTTGGTTTGGTAAACGTAGGCTAATACTAAAACTCAGACCTCCACTAACACACAAAGACTCCCAATGATGCACGCTGGTTATAAGTGTTTTTGTTTAACAATTATATCATAATTGTATGAACTCGCATAACAGGCATCATCTTAGCCACATGATTGTGGCTCTAATTGAGGAAGGCAGATCAAAAAGTCCACATACAGGCCCGGTGATGACTTATTCCACTGAGCTAGCTTTACACCCTTTGTTTCGTTCAGGGTTGGAATATAATGATTAGGGATCGGCAAAATTAACGCCACTGAAAATTGTCAGAGGTGGTGCTTTTAGTTTTCGGTCGAAAAAAAAAGTTGAAAAAACAAAAGATGAAAAATGCCAAAGTTACATCAAAGTTTCAAAATTTAACACTAAACCAATAATTAACCAATAACATAACCAAAAGACGACAGTGAAAAAGAGCATTTTTATAACTAAAAATAATGGATATGATTGTCTTGAACAGGTTTGTTGAGGACCCTGTATTTTGTCGCTGCATGCTGTAATAATTTTAGTGAGTTTATTTTATATTAACTCTTTTTATTTCTCAGTTTTGTCCAACTGCAAGTAGATTTTATCAACATAAAGTGTATTCTCTTCATTTGTACTTTGTATGTTTAGTAGTTTTACTCAAAAGCACAAATAAAACAGCAATTTATTTTCCTATTTTCCATTTCAGTTTTCTTGACTTTTGTTTTCGGGCAGGAATTTTCATCTCAGTGCATCACTTCTGATAACTACCCGTATTTATAGTAGTTGCATAGTTTCATAAACATTACATGCATTTTTCCATTTTGTCACGACCACTAAACATGATCTTTGCTTAGCGAATAATGTTGCTTATTTGCTGGTAACAAGCTTTCTGTCTAGCTAGCTAACTGAGGATATTTTAACAGCGGCTTTTGCTAACATTCAGCCTTCTGTTATCGCCATCTGCGCTCTAGGTAGCTGCTAATCTAACTACTAATCTTTCTAACTAGTGGAATTATCACATATCTTGGATGCGATTTTTTTGGAGAATCTCTCAAGTTACAGAATTTATGTTTCACGCAACTCACAACCTGAGACTTGCATAAAAGCTTCACTGCGGTAAAGCTAGCCTGCATTTTCGCGCAGCTCGGAGGACTCGGTCAGTTCTAAATAACAACAAAAACAACCCATTCTGAAAGAGGAAGAGCTGACGGAGAGACCTTGAGGAAAGAGTGCAGCATCTCTCTGAACTCGTCCATGGAGGTGCCGCGGGTGGGTTTGTCGTACAGGCTGGCGTCGCGCTTCGGGAGAGAGTTGGGACCACCGTCTCCTCTCAGAGCGTCCTCGATCCCGCACTTCACTATTACAGCTTTCTCCTTCCACACAGCGCTGTACACCTGCAACACAGACACACCCACTCGCAGAGCTGGAGACGCAGCCATGAACGTGTGGGGCTCCACTACTGAAGAAAACGCAGAGTTACTGCGCAGCTTAAGCAGCTACTAGACGCTCACTAACGTGCTGCCCAAACGTTACTATGGTATTTTAGGTGTTCGATATTTGTTATGCTGTCCCAGTTGGTTGCTAGATGTTTGCTGTGGTATCTCAGGCGGTTGTTAGGGCTTTGCAAGGCAGTTGCAATGGTGTTCTAGGTGCTTGCTATGGTATGCTGGATGGTTGCTAGATGGTTGCTGTAGTATACCAAGTGGTTGCTAGGGTGTTTCTAGGCAGTTGCCATGGTAACTAAGGTGGTTGTAAGGGCTTAGCTAAGCAGTTGCAATGGTATCCTAGGTTGTTGCTAGGGTACACTGAATGGTTGCTAGCCATTTGCCATCGTAACCCAGGTGGTTGCTAGGATTTTGCAAGACAGTTGGAATGGTGTCCTAGGTGGTTGCTATGGTGTGCTGGATGGTAGCTAGATGGTTGCTGTGGTATCCAAAGTGGTTGCTAGGGTGTTCCTAGGCAGTTGCCATGGTAACTAAGGTGGATGTAAGGGCTTTGCTAGGCAGTTGCAATGGTGTCCTAGGTTGTTGCTAGGGTACACTGAATGGTTGCTAGTCAGTTGCCATGGTAACCCAGGTGGTTGCTAGGGTTTTGCAAGACAGTTGCAATGGTGTCCTAGGTGGTTGCTATGGTGTGCTGGATGGTTGCTGTGGTATCTCAGGTGGTTGTTAGGGTGTTGCTAGGCAGTTGCCATGGTAACTAAGGTGGTTGTAAGGGCTTTGCAAGGCAGTTGCAATGGTGTTTTAGGTGCTTGCTATGGTATGCTGGATGGTTGCTAGATAGTTGCTGTGGTATCCCAAGTGGTTGCTAGGGTGTTGCCATGGTAACTAAGGTGGTTGTAAGGGCTTTGCTAGGCAGTTGCAATGGTGTCCTAGGTTGTTGCTAGGGTACACTGAATGGTTGCTAGTCAGTTGCCATGGTAACCCAGGTGGTTGCTAGGGTTTTGCAAGACAGTTGCAATAGTGTCCTAGGTGGTTGCTATGGTGTGCTGGATGGTTGCTGTGGTATCCCAAGTGGTTGCTAGGGTGTTGTTAGGCAGTTGCTATGGTAACCCAGGTGGTTGTTAGGATGTGCTAGGCAGTTACCATGGTATTCCTTTTAGATGCTTGAGTGTTGCTAGTGTATCATCTTTCTGTAAGCTGAGTGCACAAAGTTTTGCATTTGGCAATTTTTCATAACTGTACAAAAACTATACATCCAATCAAAAAAACTGTACACAAGCACAAAATTCCCAATGAGACTGAACACTCCGGAGTCAGAATGGTGTTGATATCTCGGAAAAACTGCGAACTGTGAACAAAAATAATTTTAAAATGTAGGATATGGGAGTGTAGGGACTGGGAGTGTATGGGACTGTAGATGTATATAAAAAAGGCCTGAGCAGCAAGAATAAGTCTAATATCCAGATGCCTCATACTGGCAAAGCAGTGGTTAAATCTGTTAAAACAAGAGAATCTAAATACAGTAAAAATTATATTATATAAAGATCTTGTGGCATTTTGGTTTATATCATTTATATACCTGGTGCGCAGGTGACGTTGAGAGGCAGCGCTGCAGAGTGAGAGTTTTCTCCTCGCACAGAGATTTACAGACGGAGCCAGAGATGATCCCCCTCCGGTAGTGCTCACACTGACACACACACACACACACACACACACACACACATATATATATATTAAAGGGGTGTGTGAACCAACTATAGGTTATAATAACCGTACAAATAGATAAATAAAGGCTAAACAATGAAAAAAAAACATAATTTGATTTTCTGTGGGCCTTTCACTTTAACTCTGACATGTAAAGCTGGAGGAAAACCCGCACCAGCCAGAGCAGCAGTGTTCAGGTTTATTTTCCATTAAACAGCTGTCATCACCCATATTCACCAGTTCATTGTAGAGAATTCTTTACAGTGGTGGTGATAGGAACCAGGGGTCGCCATGACTACAACACATATAAAACACATATATAAATATAGACATTTTATTTACTATCCAGAACCACCAGTGAACCTACACGAGTCTTCTGAGTTTATATGGAATGTTGATGATGGAAAATAGTGGAAAATCTGGAATAATAAGTTTTCTTTGGGGACTATTTTGCCTCACAGCGCCCTGCATGTATCCCTCCACCATGAATGGAGTTTAAGGCCAAAATCTTCTCAAAACAACTGTAAAACAGTGTCTCAGTCATCAGGCAGTGAATTCATAACCATTTCATGTAGTAACTTTCTGTGAGGGAGCTTTTAGAGGTGGACGTCTGGTTCCTATCACCAAAACTATGAACAGTTCTGACTCGGTCAATTTCTCTCGAATGGAGCGTTTCACACCAAACCACTCTGAACGACTCTGTTTACATCTTAAACTATTGAATCATGCGGACATTTTGTACTAATTTTTCCAAACTTTTTTGTGACTGTTGCCAATTTTACTCGATATTTGCCATTTCTATCAAATGTTTTTTTTCCATACATCAAATTAGGCATAAAAATGTGCCATTATTAGTACGCTCAACATTTTCTTCCTATACCCCCTCTCTCTCTCTCTATGCCTCTCTCCCGCCCCCCCCCCTCTCTCTTAGTCTCTCTGAGCATGTTGTGTTCATTGATTATGTCATTAGCTCTTAACGAGTGTTGTTATCTCCTGCCTGCAGTTACAATAGTATCTCCTCATGATGTATTACAGCAGCCTCATCCACACAGTGTGTTTTGGCTGGTAAAGCGGTTCGTTTTACGAAGGCTGAGAATCTGAGCGGTGCTGGTTTCCTACAGCTTTATTCATTTCTCATCAGGGGTCAGCACAAGGTCTGCACGAAAGACAGGTTCATCTATATAAAGATCATAGTAATGACTAGATACAGACTTTGGCCTTTGGTAGAGATGCATTGTGGGTCTTGTACTGCAGGAACTTACAATAAATATGTAAAGTAGCAGTCATAGTGGGTTCAGATTAGGCCCATATCCAGGTTCATTTTTGATTGTCTGGACAGCAAACAACCAGATGAAGTCTGATTTTTGCAAGTGGGATCCAACAATATCTGGAGATAGTTTGAAATGTGATTCCAATCTGGTTTTTACAGGTGTGTCTCAGACCGAACGCTCTGGCTACTTAAATTCTGATCTTTTCAAATCCAACCTGAGCCACTTTGTGTTCAGACTGCAGGCAAATTGAATTGATTCTCAAATCAGATCTTTTGAGATGACTGTCCACATGTTTATTTGCAAGTTCTCGAATCGGATTTCGGATTTGTGTGTTCAGACGTCACCAGCATGTCTGCATGGGCTGCCATGGTAACGATGTAGGCATCAGTAACTCCATAGCTACACTGGTGATGTGGATTTCAAACACGGATGCAGGAGAGATGGAGGAGCATCATCTCCCCTCCAGACTCTTCAGAACTCTCTTCATAATCATGAGTCTTTGGAGCTCTTCTTGAATTCCAGCACTTCATCACTCTGGATTTGATTGTCACTGTTTGTCGCGTTGCGAGTGACGCAAAAGACACTTTGAAATCTGATTTGAGCATTCAGAGCATTCACACTGAGAGGCATCTGTAAAAATCAGATTGGAATCGCATTTCAAACCAGCTCCAAATGTGGTTTTTGATCCAATCTGCAGAAATCAGATTTCATGTGATTTTTTGCAGTCCAAACCATCAAAAAGCAATCTGGATACAGATACGCCAAAAATTGGATTTGGGCTGTAGCCGTAGATCGGATACGCATCCAATCCTGGCCATGCCTCCTTAATGAGAACGCTCAAGTTGGAATTAATGCCTTTTCTCCCTGCGCATTCGCCATCATTCAGCTTTACCAAGGCAGCAGCGTCTAACCTGAAGTGCCAGTAAACGGTGCAAAATCAACGCATCTGACCCTTTTTCACCTTCGTCTTCCTCTCATAATGAATCTGAGCTAATTATCTTCGCGAGGAAAGCTTGTTCTGCTGGTAGTTGGTCTGTTGTTCGTGATTTTAGTATACGTTCACATTACCAGGCTGAAGTGGCACAAATCCGATTTTTTGCCCTAATGTGACTCAGATCTGATGTTTTCAGGGCTGTGTGGACACAAATCTGATCTTTTCAAATCCACTTTCATATGTGGTCCTAGATCAGATACATATCCAATTCATGGCCATGTGACCTTAATGTGACGCTCAGATCTTAATTAAAGTGCTTTTTTCCTCAATATGCGTGCACCATCATTCAGCGTTACCATGGCAGCAGCGCCGAACAGAAGTTAAAGCCTGTAAACGGTGGAAAAGCAGCTCATCTCACCTTTTTCTCCTTCGTCTCGCTCTAATAATGAAGCTGAGAGCTGATCAGAGTTAATTATCTTCTCAGCGAAGCTCGTTCTGCTCGTTAGTTTGTGCTGATGATGAACGTGATTCACTCACGTGACGTTACTGAGTAGGATGAGCTCATAAGGGTCATTTCAGGACGCCGGTTCGTCACATTAATGACAGATTTGAGTCACTTACCTAAACGAGTGTGAACCATCGTGTCAGAAAGATCGGATTTGAGCAAAAAATCAGATTTGGGCGATGATTGCAATGTGAACGCAGCCTTATTGATTAGTGTATGCAGGTTCGTTCACATTAACCTACACTTACCTACACGAGTGTGAACCATCAAATTAAAAAGATCAGATCTGAGCAAAAATCTGAATTGAGCAATGAGACTTACAATGTGAACACAGCCAAAATCCACCCCTGCATAATATGAGCATGGTTTACGGAAAGATGTGCATGATGGGAGATGTAGTGCATTCGATCATGACAAGCAGGATTAACAACACTTACGATGAGCATGGTGCAGACATGGCCTCTGCAGAGCTCGGAGTAGGAGGAGTACTGCACGTAGATGACCCAGCTGGCCACCAACACGCCCAACCACACCACCACCAGGTACTTCACCTTCACTGCAGGCAGACGGGACTGAACGAGGAGGAGAGAGATCGAAAGAAAGAGGAAGAGAGAGATGAGAAAAAGAAGTGTGAGGTTAAAAGGAGAAGTCACACCATGAAAAAGACAGACACTTAATCACACATGGAAAAACTGAGTGACTTGGGCTGTGTTTACAGTTGGAGTTGGGTTCTCCTGGTCCAGACCGACGCTATTTCATATTAGTTCTGGTTCTATTAGCGTTCACACTGACACATTTCACTTCGACCAAAAGATGTAAACAAAAGTTAATATTACAAGTGACTGGGAGGATTTTATGATGACCATTTGGCAACAATAATCACAATAATATCCACCAAACTAGCCACGTTACATTTTGGCCTAACTGAGCTTGTGGGCATGTTGGAAAATGGCCATGTACACTCTTAAAAAACAGGGTTCTTCAAGGGTTCTTTAGTAAAGGCAGGGCAATGAGATCCATATTGGACCTTGAATTGTTCTTTGCATGGTGAAATGGTTCTTCAGATTGATATTTAGAACCTTTTCAAAAATGGTTCTATATTGGGCCAAAAAGTTTCTTCTATTGTAACAATAGAAGAACCATTTTTTGGTGCTATATAGAACCACACACAACACATTCTCCCTCAGTCTGAAGAGCTATTTTACCATGCAAAGAATAATCTAAGCATGAAATGGTCCTATATTCTTAAAGGGTTCTATATAGAACCATGAACACTTACGGTTCTTTGCATCAGGAAAGGGTTCATCAGGAAAATGTGTATGAATGTGCTGTAGACGGTTCTACATAGAACCTTTTTGAAAAGGGTTTTATTGTTACAAGCTTGACATTGTGACAACAGAAGAACGTTTTTGGGTGCTGTATAGAACCCTTTTCAAAAAGGTTCTATACAGAGCCATATACAACATGTTCTTCATCAGTCAGAAGAACATGTTCCTGATGCAAAGAACCATTTAAGCATGAAATGGTCTTGTATACACTCTTAAAAAGATGATCTTCAAGGGTTCTTTTGTAAAGAAAATGGTTTTTTGCAGAACGATGAACGCTCAAAGAACCCTTTGCATGATTAAAGAGTTCTTTGCATTATGAAAGCGTTCTTCAGATTGATGAAGAATGTGCATAAATGTGCTACAAACGGTTCAATGTAGAACCTTTTTGAAAAGCGTTCTATATGGCACTAAAAAGGGTTCTTCTATTGCTACTTGACATCGTAACAACAGAAGTACACTTTTGGGTGCTATGTAGAACCATATACAGTACATTCTCCATCAATCTGAAGAACAATTTCATGATGCAAAGAACCATTTAATCATGCAAAGGGTTCTTTGAGTGTTCATGGTTCTGTGTAGAGTCACTGACTTTGGTGGCATCCCGTCTGTAGCGTCCAGTGTGGTGGGCAGTCACCCTTAGAGTTCTATTGCTTTTTGGAGGGTTTTACAAACATCCAATTTGACTAAGACGCCGATTCGCAGCACAGCGGAGGTAGAACTCAGTCCAGCTTGGGTCAAGAGTTCAAGTGCGAGAGGCCAGCACTTGGTGAGTATGTATGTGCCACCTCACGCATGGTCAGCATATCTGATTACTGACTACAGACAACAGAGGCCAGATATCGAAATACAATCGGTCAGTGTAAGAACACGAGCACTCGGTTTAAAGTGACGTTTCCAGTGCAGCGTTTTGTAAACATGTTCATGTATAATGAAACAGTGGAGTCAATACATTGTTTTGGTTACAACACCGACTGGCCACTTCATTAAGTCCACCTCCTTGTATCTACACTCAACTCCACTGACCATATAGTTTAACTCTATAGTTCTGCAGTTACAGACTGTAGTCCATCTGTTTCTCTGCACCCTGTTCTTCAGTGGTCAGGACCCCCACAGGACCCCCACAGAGCAGGTACTATTTGGGTGGTGGATCATTCTCAGCACTGCAGTAACACTGACGTGGTGGTGGTGTGTTAGTGTGTGTTGCGCTGGTACGAGTGGATCAGACACAGCAGTGCTGCTGGAGTTTTTAAACACTGTGTCCACTCACTGTCCACTCTATTAGATGCTCCTACCTTGTCAGTCCACCTTGTAGATGTAAAGTCAGAGACGATAGCTCATCTGCTGCTGCACTTTGTGTTGGTCATCCTCTAGTCCTTCATCAGTGGTCACAGGACGCTGCCCACAGGACGCTGTTGGCTGGATATTTTTGGTTGTTTTTCCATTTTTGGAGGTGTTTAAAAACTCCAGCAGCACTGCTGTGTCTGATCCACTCAGACCAGCACAACACACACTAACACACCACCACCACGTCAGTGTTACTGCAGTGCTGAGAATGACCCACCACCCAAATAGTACCTGCTCTGTGGTGGTCTTGTGTATTATGTCAAGCTCTAAACTGAATCACATCACTGCCAAATTTTTAAATCCTTCTGAAGCTCTGACAGGTTAGAGCTGTCCAGCCATTGTCCATCCACAGCAGCTCTGGGTTTTCCCTGCTCTAATGAGTCATATCATTAGCCAGAAGCCCTTCTGGAGCTCAGTCAGATGTGCTGGAGCAGGAAGACCCAAACCTGTGCAGTGCAGGTCGGCCTCAGCTGAGAAAAACAGCAGGAGACACAACGTTTCCCAGTGAGGGTTCACTACAAACCAGGGCTGGAGTTGGTCTGGTCTGCAAACTTAAATGAATACACCAGCGTTTCTCAAGCGAATCCATCTCTGCTGCATCTGCTGAAGCACCTGCACACTGGCTGCTACTGAACGTGTGTTTTGGGTCAATCATAGGCTACAAACACAGCAGGTAGCGAGTAGGTTGGAGTTAGTAGTGGGCAGCATGGCCAAAAATGTATATCATATCATGATTTCTGAGAGTTTCGAGATACATATCACAGTATATTGTTTAGTGTATAAATAGTTTTTCAAATAAAATCATTTTATTTGCTTAAATAAGACTGTTTTTTGTAGATTACTGATGGTTATTCTTCTGCACTTTAATAAGAATCGTATTTAACAACAGAAGTGAAGCTAAAGCTAAACATTTTTACTGGGCAAAATAGTAAAAACAGAACTGGAAAAATATATAGACAGATGTCATAACTGCTTTCTCAAGCCGCTGCTCTCTTAGGCTAGCTTTGCATGGAAAAACGTACATGCAACTAGTTGCATGTTGCGAGTTGCCTGCAATATCATTTCTGCTCTGAGCAACCTGGCCGCTACACAAAGCAGCTTAAAAATACAAAAGTTGCATGCAACACATTTCATTACTCCAAACTAGCAGCTCCTATTTCTTTCTTGCAAAAGTCACCCATGAGGTGTAATTTATATATTTGCAGTATTTTTTAATCTTCATATATTTTTTTACTGCTGTTACTGCCGTTCTTTTTTTCTATATCCATATATCTATGTTTTCTTTATCTATCTAGGCTTAGTTATAACATATTTGAGTTTTTATCTGTTGTGTGTATATTCAGCCTTTGAAAATGAATGTTTAAGCCTTTACGGTTCTAGCCTACTTGGTTCCTCTCTCATTCTCATCCCAATTGAATCTGAGCTCTGTGTAAAATGCAAAATTAAGGTCATAAAAAGATGAGAAAATGATTTCAGAACCATTGGCCAACAGAGGAATTAGACCTCCGCATTTAACCCATCCGTGCAGTGAAACACCACATACACACGAGTGAACACACACACTAGGGGGCAGTGAGCACACTTGCCCAGGGCTATCCACAGCGCCCAGGGAGCAGATGGGGGTTAGGTGCCTTGCTCAAGGTCACTTCAGTCACGTACTGTCAGCTCAGGGGATCGAACCAGGTCACAAGGCTGGTTCCCTGACCTCCAGCTCACAACTGCCTAATGATGATAGCAGCTAAAGAAGAATAAACGGTGGCACAAGCAGCCGTGTAAACAGCTGTTAGCGTTAGCTGGCTAGTGTGTTACAGAAACACTGGCTTCAAGAAACTTGAAAATGAAAAACTGTCAATCTTAGGTCAATCAATCCTTTTCAACCCTGAACTGACCACCTTCTGTTTTACTTCCTTCTCCATTGATCTGGTGAAATCAATCGTCTGAGAGCATTTTGTGCAACCTGATCGCTTGATGCATTATCTGCAATTTGACTGGCTGTTAAACACTTGCAACTGTTGCGGCTGAGTTTCAAGTGAGCTGCAGGGCCCTTTAAGTTGTGCAACTCAAGTGCAATTTAGTTACATGTAGGTTTCAGGCAACTATAGTTGCATTAAAGTTTCACCATTTGAAGCCAGCCTGAGCTTTAAAACTTACAGGCAACTAGTTGCATGTTGTGAGTTGTCTGCAACATCATTTCAGTGCAGCTTGACAGCTCTGTGCAACCTGGCAGCCATTTCAAAATGGTTCTGTATAGAACTATGAACACTCACGAATCTGAAGAACACTTTAACCATGCAAAGGGTTCTTTGCATCATAAAATGATTCTTCAGATGGGCAGAGAATTTGCTGTAGATGGTTCTGTACAGAACCATTTTAAACAGTGTTCTATACAGCACCAAAAAGGTTCTTCTATTATGACAATCTTGACATTGTAACAGCAGAAGAACGCTTTTTAGTGCTATATAGAACCCATTTCAAAATGGTTCTATATAGAATCAACTACAGCACATTCTCTATCAATCTGAAGAACCATTTCACCATGCAAAGAATGGTTCTACAGAGAACCAATTTCTTTACTAAAGAACCTCTGAAGAGCTTTTTTACGAGTGTAAGTCTTTCTGGACAATTCCTATTGGTCCATTCAGCATGGAACTTTGACACAATGTAAAGGGCAGCTGGCACATTGGACAATGGTCATGTACACTCTTGAAAAGGATGGTTCTCCAAGGGTTCTTTAGCAAGGCAACAGTTGTATTTAGAACCATGAGTTCTAACCATGAGGCCTCCATGATAACTATATCTGCCTATTCACCCTACAGCAGTTTAGCCCCGCCCACTCACACTGAAGTTATAAGGAGTGTTTTTGCCTGGACTCTTTTTTTGAATGAGGCACAGCCAATCAGGACAGAGCTCATTTACATATCGTCGGTTTTGGGGCCTCCAAAAAGGTAATTTTACAGGAGAAGGAATTAAAGGACTGTGACTTTTAATGGAAGACAATGGAACATATTCTTATTCTACACACTTTAAAAAGAGGGTTCTTCATGGGTTCTTTGGTAAAGAAAAAGTTCTACATAGAACCACGAACACTCAAAGAACCCTTTGCATGTTTAAAGGGTTCTTTGCATCATGAAAGGGTTCTTCAGATTGATGAAGAATATGCTGTAGATGGTTCTATATAGAACCATTTTGAAATGGGTTCTATATAGCACTAAAAAGCGTTCTTCTGCTGTTACAATGTCAAGATTGTCATAATAGAAGAACCTTTTTGGTGCTGTATAGAACACTGTTTAAAATGGTTCTGTACAGAACCATCTACAGCAAATGCATAATGGGCACAATGGTCATGTACACTCTTTTGAAAAAGATGGTTCTTCAAGGGTTCTTTAGTAAGGCGGTTTCATTTAAATGCTTCTTCAGATTGATGGAGAATGTGTTGTTGAAAATGGTTCCACATAGCACTAAAAAGTGTTCTTCTATTGTAATGATGTCAAGCTTGTAACACTAGCAGAACCTTTTTTTGGTGCTAAGTAGAACCATAAACAACACATTCTCCATCAATCTGAAAAACCATTTCACCAAAGAACCATTTAAGCATACAAACTGTGCTGTATAGAATTCAGGGTTCTAAACAGAACCATTGCCTTTACTAAAGAACCCTTGAAGAACCATCTTTTGAAGAGCGCAGAAATGACTTTTGACTGTTTTTGGTACATAAAAACAATTTTTTTTTTACATGAAAAGGGTTCTTTGTATGTTCATGGTTCTACACAGAATCGTTTTCATAGAACCATTGAAGAACCATTTTTAAGAGCGCTGATCCAAGAGCTCACAGGGAAGCATCTTAAACCAGATTTTAAAAGACAACACAGGCTATTTGTGTTCACACTGATCTGAATAAATCAGATGTGTTTAGATCAGTAAATAACGGATAAGAATTCGGATTCGTATCCTGTAATGTGAACGGGTTGTGATGTAGCCCACCTGCAGGCCCTTGGAGAGCGGGCAGAAGAGCACCAGGTGCATGAGCCTCCGCAGGTTCCGCGGCATCTTCACGGCGGTTTCAGTGCGGTTTCCGCGGGCCGCGCGCGCTCTCTCATCGCCTCCTCCGTGTCACGCGGTACGGCATCTCGGTACCGTTACTCAGCCGACTGTGTGCTCGGTTTAAAGGGAAGTCGGGGAGGGGGAAGGGAGCGAGCGAGGGCCGTTCAGCGCGTGCTCGTCTCCGCTACAGCGTGATGGAAAAGCTCGCGTTGTTTTTCGGTGCTCCACGTGCACGCGCGTTGCAGAATCTTCAGAACCGTGCGCGCCGGATCACCGGATTAGCGGGACGGTGGTGAGCTCGCGAGCGCTCGAAGTCAAGGACAAAAGCGCGCGCGACATTGCCAGCCAGCCGGCGACGGCAAAGCGCGAGCTCGCGGATGCTGCGCGGGTTTTGCGGGCTTTATATCCTCGTGTGTTTCAAGATCCGTTAGCTCAGCGCGTGCCGTGACTCCGGTACGAGCATCCTGTCTCAGGGCGCGCGAGCACTCCTCGGTACCGTGTGTGTGTGTGTGTGTGTTTCTGCCTCGCTGGGATTCGACAGAGTTTAAAGGGGAGGGGGCGGAGACCAGGCAGACTCTGCACTGAGAGTTTTACACCGCCGACAGAAAAACAGAACCAACGCTTCCTTTCTTAAAGGGACATCCAAGAAAGAAAGAGAGGGAGAGAGAGAGATAAGAAGGAGAGATGGGAGAGAGAGGAGAGACAAAGATAGAGAAATAAGAAAGAGTGGTGGAAAGTGGAGAGAGAGAAGAGAAAAGAGAGAGAAAGGGAGAAAAAAGGAGAGTGAGGGGAAAGAGAGAGAAAAATAAGAAAGGGGGGGAAGGGAGAGAGAGAGAGAGAAAATAGAGAGAAAAGAGAGGGAAAGGGAGAAAAGAGAGGGAAAGGGAGAAAAAAGAAGAAGAGTGAGGGGAGAGAGAAAAATAAGAAAGAGGAGAGAGAGAGAGAGAAGGAGGGGAGAGAGGAGAGAGAGAGAGAGAAAGTGGAGAGAGAGAAGAGCTAAAAATAAAAAAGAAGGAGAGCGATGGGAGAGAAACAGGGAGAAGGGAGAAAAATGAGAAAGAGAGGGAGAGAGTGAAAAGAGAAACAGAAGAGAAAGAGGGAGAGAGAGAAACAGACAAGAGTGAGAGATAAAAGAAGAGAAAGAAAGGGAGAGAGAAAAGAGGGAGAGAAACTGATAAGGAAGATGGAGAGAGAGAAACAGGGAGAAGGGAGTGAGAGATGAAAAAGAGGAGAGGAAGAAAAGAGAAAGAGAAAAAAGAAAGAGAGAGCGACAAAAGGAAGAAAAGAGAGAAGAGAGAGAGAGGGAAGAAAAAGAGAGAAAACTGTGGAAACTTGCGGGGTGATCCTGGAGCAGTGGAATCGTATTCTGTGGAGTGATGAATCAGCTTGTCTATCGGTCAGTCTGATGGACGAGTCTGGGTTTGGCGAATGCCAGGAATACGTTACCTGCCTGACTGCACTGTGCCAGCTGTACAGTTTAGTGGAGGAGAGATGATGATATGGGGTTGTTTTTCAGGGGTTGGTCTAGAACCCTTAGTTCCAGTGAAGGGAAATCTTAATGCTTCAGCACCAAGACATTTTGGACAATTGTACACTTCCAGCTTTGTGGAACAGTTTGGGGAAGAACCTTTCCTGTTCCAGCCTGACTGAGCCCCAGTGCACAAAGCAGCTCCATAAAGGCCTGACTGGGTGAGTTTGGTGTGGAAGAACTTGACTGGCCCTCACAGAGCCCTGACCTCAACCCCATCACACACCTTTGAGATGAACTAGAACAGAGACTGTGAGCCAGACCCTCTCGTCCAACATCAGTGTCTGACATCACAAATGCTCTTCTGGATGAATGGGCAGAAATTCCCACAGACTCTCTCCAACATCTGTAGAAGCTTCCCAGAAGAGTGGAAGCTGTTAGAGCTGCAAAGGGGGACCAACTCCTCCTCTGCAAATTGCACAACCTGCACACTTGATGCAATCCCCTCAAAGTTACTCAAAGAACTGCTACCAGTTATCATAAACCCTCTTTTAACTATAGTAAACTCGTCCCTTAGCCTGGGCCAAAGCTTTTAAACTAGCAGTTATTAAGCCTCTGATCAAGAAACCAAACCTTGATGCTATCTGGATTCAGGCCACATCACAGCACTGAGACAGCTCTAATTAAGATAGCAAATGATCTTCTTCTTGCCTCTGATCGAGTCTACATATCCCTGTTGGTGCTACTTGACCTCAGCGCAGCTTTCGATTCGATAGACCACAATATTCTCCTAGAAAGGTTAGAAAACATGGTTGGAATCACAGGGACAGCCCTATCATGGTTCAAATCTTACTTAACGGAACGTTATCAGTTCATAAAGGTAAATGATTCATCTTCCAATTATTCACAAGTAAGATCTGGAATTCCGCAAGGCTCTATTTTAGGACCATTATTATTTACATTATACATGTTACCGTTAGGCACAGTTATAAGTAACCATGGCATTAACTTTCACTGTTACGCAGACGATACGCAATTATACATATCAGCCAAGCCTGATGACAAATACAGGTTAAAGAAAATAGAGGACTGTGTAAAAGACGTGAAAGGTTGAATGTTGCGTAACTTCCTCCTTCTAAACAGTAACAAAACAGAGGTTCTCCTTCTGGGTCCAAAGTGGCAAGAAATAAATTATCAGATTTAATTTTAAATCTCGCTGACTTTCCAGTTATACCTGGTTCAGCAGCAAAAAATCTTGGTGTAATACTCGATCCAGATTTATCATTCGATCAACACACAGGCAGCATCACTAGGACAGCTTTTTTACACCTTCGCAACATCACCAGAATAAGAAATGCCTTATCGCTGCATGATGCAGAAACATTAGTACATGCCTTTATTACTTCAAGGCTAGACTATTGTAACGCACTACTATCAGGATGCACCAGCAGGAATTTAAGTAAACTTCAACTAGTTCTAAATGCTGCAGCCAGTTTGCTCACTAAAACTAGAACATTTGATCATATCAGTCCAGTTCTATCATCACTCCATTGGCTGCAAAAATTACAAAATTCTTTTATTGACGTATAAAGCCCTACATGGGCTCCTGAGTACCTACAAGACCTCATTTCCCATTACGAGCCACCACGATTACTCAGATCACAGAGTGCTGGCTTTTTAATAGTTCCCAGAATTAAGAAGGTTTCATCTGGGGAAGAGCCTTTCTTATAAAGCACAAACTCTGGAATGATCTTCCAGAAAATGTTTTTTGGGACTCAGAATCAGTCGCAATCTTCAATCTAGCTGAAAACTCACTTGTTTAGTTTAGCTTTTGGTAGTTAATGTTCCCCCTTAGATAAAGGCAGCAGATCCAGGGGTCCATGGACACAGGGAATTATAGTAAACTGAGACGCTGGTGCTGTCGTCCCACCGCTCGCACACGATCACTCAGGTTTGTGGAAGGTGGAGCGGAGGGATGCCAGATTGTTCAGGGGACTCCCTTTTCGTTAGATGGTGTAGTCGGATCTGCCGGAGTCATTAGCCACACTCTGGAAATGATTTACTTATTATTATACATTCACCCATACAGAACTAAACTGACTACATCTCCCTACCTTTTTTCTGAGTAAACGACTGACACCTGTCGGATGGACCATGATGGACGCTGTCTGTCAAGCTCTCCTGCTACCGCTTCAGACCCAGCCCCAGTCACGCCACCTGCCTTGGACTGGCTGCCCACCCGACACTGAAGTGGACTCCCTAACTATTATTACTTAATACTATTAATATTAGTAGTCTAAGAATTTTGTAGGTAGTTTGACCAGAGGAGGATGGGTCCCCCCTTGTGAGCCTTGGTTCCCCCAAGGTTTCTCCTCAGCTCTGAGGGAGTTTTGTCCTGGACTGCTCACCTGGAGGATTTACATTTCATGTTAAAACTTTGTCCTTAATGGATTTCTGTGAAGCTGCTTTGTGACAACATCAGTTGTAAAAAGCGCTATACAAATAAATTTGACTTGACTTGACTTGACCCCATATTAATGCCTATGGATTTAGAATGGGAGTCATAAAACCTCCTGTAGGTGTCCCAATACTTTTGTCCATATAGTGTATATGATCAGAAATGATCAGATATGACAGAAGTGTCAGTTAAGTTGTTTCAGCATTATTCAACATAGAAAAGTATGGCTACACAAAAAAGGCTGACGATTTTTTATTATTCAAGATACATATTTGCATCCCACTGATTAAAGGGCAATACCACCGATTTTTGAAAATTTGTCTATAATTAGATGGTTAACATGTAAACAGAGTCATTCAGAGTGGTTTGGTGTTGAAACGCTCTGTTCTAGAGAAACTTACTGAGTCAGAACTGTTCACAGTGGTGGTGATAGGAACCAGACGTCCACCTCTAAAAGCTCCCTCACAGAAAGTTACTACATGAAATGGTTATGAATTCACTGCCTGATGACTGAGACACTGTTTTATGATAGTTTTGACCAGATTTTGGCTCTAAAATGATTTTCTTTTTTCAGATTTTCCACTATTTTACCATCATCAACATTATATATAAACACTCCTCACATTAAACCACTCTGAAGGACTTTGTTCACATCTTAACCGTTTAACTATGTGGAATTTTTTGAAAAATTGGTGGAATTACCCTTTAATCTTTCTTACTTTAGATGGACAGTATTTTTTTTTATTACAGTAGTGTTAAATAACATCTGCTTTCATATTTAACATATTAATCAAGGTGCTTATACAGAATCCTCCATTTCCAAGCCACACTTGCATGTACGAGCCTACACAGCTGTGGAAGAGGAGTGTGTTTCTAATACAGTTGTTGGCTCTGTGGAGGTTTTACTGGTTCCTTCATCTGTGGCACACAAAGACACAGACTAGCTCTCAGTTCCACAGTGAAACTGTCCTGAATCCACACTCGGTGCCTGGAACCGCTCAGCACCAGCTCACAACGAACCAGAGACAACAGGGTTTCAGTCTGTCTCCTAGACAGTAGAGGGCGATAAAGGTCTATAAGTTAACTACACTGGGCCTGATGCAGTAGGCCAGGGCTGTCCAGCACAGTCTGGAGATTCTCCTGCTCAGAAAAACCAGAGCCCAGCTTTTCCCTTCAAAGCGTCTCCTCGGAAATCAGCCGCTTGGGCAGGAGAGGACAGTCTGAGAGGAGCTCTCCATTCCCTTCATTCATTTCAGAGCGTCTTAGTCCAACAGTAAAGGATCTCCTGAGCTGTCTTAGACTACTTTCTGTACATGTAATAATAATAATAATAATAATAATAATACCAATAATATAATAATAATTATTATTATTATTGTTGTTATACAGTTAACCCACTCCATGCTTTGTATGACTGAGGAACTTTTATTTCAAATATTACGTGGTCTTATTAGTATTACTACTACTACAATTTACACTGTTTACAATTATTCTTGTTATTTATTTATTTATAATTATTTATTTATTTTCCCCTCCAATTTTGTTTATTATAGCAATCAAATAAGATACAAAGTATGATAATATAATGTGCAATGCA